TCATTTGGAAGCTGAACAGAAGCTTGTGCTTCTCGAAAACTCCCATACAGGTGTAGTCATACATAGTCTGGGTCATCTTCTCTCGCAAGTTCCTTGTGAAAAGCTCAGCAAAAGGTCCACTTCATACAGTCATTCAATGTTATTCGTGTCCAAGGCTCTTTAATCTGTTGTCCACAATTTTGTCCGGCTTCGCATCTCTCAAGGCTGTGTCAAAGACTCCCAGGTAGCTGCTCAGGGAGTACTCGTACATTTCCTTGCGGACTCGAGAGAAACGTCATACCGGACTCAAAATGATATCCCAAATTGGTTATACCGACTCATCGAGACCCTTACGCTGATTGCGACCATGCCAGACATTGCGAAGTACAGAATTGATCCACGTTTGGCGACCTGAATTTGCAAGGCCAAGAAATGACACGTATTTACGGGCAAGCGATGTATAGTATACTGTATACATGCGTATCTGCATCCACTTGATCGCGCAAGACTCGAAGTCAACTTGTTCAAGCCAAGCTGCACTGACATAGAGTGCTCGTGTCTTCTCAATTTCCTAACTGTATGAAGCTAATCAAGGATGCAAAAGTTGCATGCAGTAAAATGCACTTGGAAGGCCTCTGCAGTCTTGGCAGCTGTCTCCAAGGATACACCAATTTGGATCGAGGTTGCCTTTGAAATTTGCAAAGCTGTGCAATGGAGCCGTTTTCAGCCCACCCACTGCATGACTACCTGCCTTTGCTGTATTCAATGTGTGGATCAAGTCATCATTGTCCAAAATACTTCCCTGCCAATGCAAGTCGCAATGTTTCAAGAAGGCTCAGTTCAAGCCTGTTGCAATCACAACGAATTCGCTTCTCGACCTACGCTTTACAAGTTGGGCCTGCCTTTGATGCAGCCAGGTCATGCAAAAGGGTGTCTTCAAGATTTTTGATTTCCTGCAGAGATAAAGACTTCCGTGAAATCCAAGCACAAGAACTTGACGCAACGCTCCTGACGATCAGCGGACATCTGTTGGACAAGTCCCCGCCGCCTCGCTCATAAAGCTTGTGCGTGAGGCAACGAAGTATCTTGTGTTCCAGTTCTGAAGTCTTGTCCGTCCGAAGACCCTCGTAAAATCCTTCACATTCCGGAGTCAAATGTCCTTCAAAGCATACAGACTTCAAGAGAACTTTCAAAGAACCTCCCTTGCAGATTGTAGGGTGTGGAGGTGCATATTCTTATTGATGACGTTTTGTTCATGATGACACCATTACCACCACCACCACCACCATCATCGTAATACACCAATTGCGGAAAGCATTTGAAAACGAAAAACGGTGCCTCTCTTCCAGGTCTGGTCGCTCGAAGCCAACTACAACATTCAGAAGTTGCCTTAGCTCTAGCAAAGCACGAGCTTTTCGTTTGCGGAGTCATGCAGTCAAATTGACCAAAGCAGCAGCCAGCCAGCACAACTCCGCCAATCTGTTAATGATATTGATTCCAAACAGAAACTTCGTCTGTGCTTATGTTCGGCACGCCAGCCATAGACACAAGGAGCCCAAAAAAACAAAGCAAAAACAAAGCAAAACAAATGCAAGAGGTAAAGAAAACAAAAAAGCAACAAAAATGTAGCTTTGCGTGTGTGTGTGTGTCCACCCCTGGACAAAGGGTTCTCAACCAACTTCGGCAGGGGGACTGTCTACCCCACAGAAGTGACAGTCCAACGAAGAGGCTTCTGTGGCGGTACTGATATCAGTTCCGGACGCGGAACTGACGTACCTGCCTTCAACACAATGACTCCACTGGTCCACCCTGCCGCTGTTTCCTTGTTTCCATGGTTCTTCATGCCTCCACCCCCCCAAACAGGTTTCTTTCAGCAGCTGAGCCGCCGATCGTCCGCAGATGTGCAGCGTTTGTTCAGCCGAGCGAGGGAAACTATGTTAAACAATTCAAGTGATCTGACCCAATCACCATGCCGTTCCACCGCCATCCTTCCCATCGTGGTAACTGAGTCACTGAAAACCAATGTCAGAGTGTGTTTCGCTCAGCCGTCCCACTCGGGTGCTGAGTGTGATCCCCGTCACAGGGGCGCCGTCTTTGCATAGGAAAGCATCCACCCCAACTTGCCACCTTTCACCGGATTTCCACTGGAAGTCATTGACACACCCTTTGAATCAACTGATGCATTGGCCGCCGGGCCCAAAAACGGGATTACTTCGACAGCCGCCGGGCTATAAAACGGTGCGGTGCTCAACCCCCAATGAGGCAGGTTCCCCAACCCCCCCCCCCGCTGAGTTCTACTCCCTACCTATTTAGGGCAACATAGGGAAATGGTACTCGACACACTTGTGTGTCGGTGCCTTTCCCTGTGTTGTTCCTTTTCTAGTCTTTCCTACCCGGGCGGTCTAAGACTAAAGTCCCGCTCCCTAGCTATTGCACGCAATTCATTTCTGCTAAGTAATCAGTAATTCTAGAGGGCTAAGTATTCATACACACACACGGACACACACATGTACATACACTTCCCTGCCCCCCGCTTTTCTTCTTACGCCTTCGGTCGTTTCTTGGGCTTTCTCTCAGGCTTTTTAGGTTGTTCTTGAGGCTCGTTTCCCTACCCCAGTCAAGGGCTAAGTAGTCATTTTTCCTACACCTATCTTTCTTTCTTCCCCTCTTAGCGCTGCTCTTTCTGTCTTTCTTTCCTTTTGTTTCTAAGGCTTTTTAGGTGACTATTTAGGTTTTTTCCCATGCGCGCCGCGAAGCGGCACCGTATGTGTGCCACCGTTCTTTGACAAAGCGCCGAAGCCGGCGATTTGTGTGTGTCCACCCCTGGACAAAGGGTTCTCAACCAACTTCGGCAGGGGACTGTCTACCCCACAGAAGTGACAGTCCAACGAAGAGGCTTCTGTGGCGGTACTGATATCAGTTCCGGACGCGGAACTGACGTACCTGCCTTCAACACAATGACTCCACTGGTCCACCCTGCCGCTGTTTCCTTGTTTCCATGGTTCTTCATGCCTCCACCCCCCAAACAGGTTTCTTTCAGCAGCTGAGCCGCCGATCGTCCGCAGATGTGCAGCGTTTGTTCAGCCGAGCGAGGGAAACTATGTTAAACAATTCAAGTGATCTGACCCAATCACCATGCCGTTCCACCGCCATCCTTCCCATCGTGGTAACTGAGTCACTGAAAACCAATGTCAGAGTGTGTGTGGCTTTCTTTTTCACTTTTTGTTCGCTTTACTTTCACATGTGGTTCGCTTTATTGTTGCATGTTGTTTTCGCGTGTTTTTCGCTTTTCCTTGGAGCGTACGGCGAATATTGCTGACGGGTAAAGTTCTCATAAGTGCAGAAGCAGTACCCCCAAAAAAGCAAAACAAATGCAAAAACAAAACAAGTTGTGTTGCTTTTGCACTCTCAGTTGCGTTTATTTTGCTGTTTTTCAACAGAAATTGTTATTTGATGGTTGGTCGTGTATAGCTGCCATTGCTTAACACGAGTCTGTGTTTGTATGTTGTATATAAAATGCATGCATACTATGTTAATGAAGCTTAAAGAATCACAATGCATTATTTGCATCATATTTAGGATTGTGTGCAAAAATATCCTATGAATGTTGATGTTTATTCCACCAGGCAAATGCATTAAGGTGTAACAATCGCTCTTATGAGCAAAGTTGCGCGGCCAATCCATCCAGTGTAATGACGCAGTTGACAATTGATGCTTTACCCATAACCTGGCAATCCGGCGTCCAACTTTACTCTCTGAGTCGATTTGGTCCATTGTTGGCATGTTGAGCCCCACAAATGAACTCTTGTAAGGCCAATGTATCGACTGAGCCATGCCTCGGGAGTGTACTTGGGATTGCTGAGCTTGGTGGTCATGTACAGCATGAAGGACTCATTCCATTCCAGCTGATTATCACCTCAAAACCCAAACAACGCCGCCAAATCCTGTGGCTCTGCCACTTGCCAGCTTCCCTCTCTCTGCCCCTCACCTAGAGTGATCATCTTTTGCCCGTTCACAATGACCACCTTCTTCTCCAACACAGGGTCCTTGGGTTTGGGAGCTGGAAGAGAGTGTAAGGCCTGTTAAAATGTGCTGGTGAAGGCCTTCGGAGTAGAGAGGGGTCAAGATCAAGACCAACCAAGCCCTACTGGGCTAGATTTGCTCAGGCGGAGTCGACCATGGGATCAAGCTCTTCATCCAAGTTTTCAAAGAGGAAGGGCTTTCCATATTGAATCGCCTCACTTTCCATCAATGCATGTCTTCTTTAAGTGATTCTTCCATCTAGCTTTGTTGGTGTGCACATTGCCCTAGCTGAATGAAAGCAGGCCTGTTTGGGAGCAGGTCAATACACCGTCGCAAATCTTGTGCATATTGTGTACTCAGCCCCATGCCAGTTCCAAAAACTTCACATACTCATCATTGAATGTCTTCACCGTCAAGCCAGCCTCCCAAAAGAACAAGCCCACCAGGTAAAGGAAAAGACTTCCATGCACAAGTGTCTGGCCTTCTCTTCCTTCTTCTTCAACCACGTTACGATTTGCATCTGTGGGTCCACACACAATGGCCACCGCGCAGATCTTGTCACCAAAATTCCGTTCCTTATACAGCTACACTTCCAAGGGCTTCACACTCCAACAATGAAGGACTGACAGGATAGTGTCGTTGTAAGAAGATCAGAAAACACTTGCATCTGTGAATCTGAACACAAAGCTCGTCTGTTGGCAGACCGTGACCAGACCAAGAGGCAACCTGCTGGAACAAGGTGCTGTTCTTCACTCAAGAGTGCAGGCATGAGTCATGATGCTCAAGACTTGTCATGGAATGCACTGAGAATTCAATGTGTTGCGAGCCTCCACATCAGATGTGAGCAAGGTCTCGATCTTGAACTCTTCCGTTTTGTCGATTCCCTGCGATTGAAAAGACATGACATATTTGAATTTAATCAGTGCTGTGATGTGTGGATTGGCCAGTGCTTTTGTTTGCCAAAAGTTGCGGCCTTGGTCTTCAATCTCTCTTGCCAGTCAACATAGACCATTTCCTGGCAAGGACAAGCAGCAAACGCAGCAAATGTTGAACTTGGCATCTGCAGGACTGTGACAAACATCCAACCGCCAAGTGACTTTGCGGAACTCGTGGTTGAAAGGTCCGGCGTAGCTCACAAACGCAGCATTCAGCAAACAATCGCCCACCAGTCTGCATCACAGACAAAGAAGAGTTTCAGTGGACAAACAATGAACTGCACCAAGCTGGCATAGTCAAACAAACGAGTTTGCCCTTTTGCCTCTTCTTCACCTCACCCATCTTCTGCAAGTCTTCTGTCCATCGCTTCCGCTCTGAGGCAAGACCTGCGAGTCAGAAAGTGCAAAGGCAAATGGACGCTTTGGGACTAATGAAGCTGCTTGCTGCGCCTTCAATCAGTTGGGATGCTGCATTGAGGCGACGAGTCATGGTATCTGCATCCTGCAGGATGACAAAATCAAACCCTTCTCCAATCCCTACACTCTGAGGCAGCCAGTTCGTTCTGAGATGCAATGTCAATTCGATCGATCGCTGCCTGTCCTCCTTCAACTGCTTCAGTTTGTCACTTTGCACCTGCCTCTCTGCAGTGACAATCTCCAAGTTCTCTGCAAGCTCCTGCATCCAAGACAGCCGATAAGCACAAACAATTATTCTTGACAAGCACGTTTGTCAAACAAAGGAGCAAACCCGTGTCGCTCTCCACCCGATAAGTGCACATCTGTTTCAAGCCTTGAGCTCTTTGTTGATTTGCTTCAAATTCCTCAGCTGTCCATCAGAACACACCAAGCAAAGGCTAATGGTGCAACTAGGTATGAAATTCAGCTGGATATGGGCACATGATAAAGTCTCTCATGTTATCCGTCATCAGTGGCCTGCCTTGCGTTCAGATTGGAGTTTGCCGCACAAATCATTCTATTGCATAATTCGCCATGCTTAAAAGGTGCCAAGCTTGATACAGCTTGGCATGTCTTGGCTAGCTCTCACTCAATAAATCTTGTTGCTGAGATTGAAGGCGGGACTCTCTTCAGCCTCCTCCTTCTTCTGCTGAAGCTTGTTCACCAATTCCCTCTTTGGGGCAACACCCTTCGCGACCTGACACACAAAAGGCTTCTTGATGTGTGCTGCGATCTGTTATATGAGTGTTGCAAACATCCAACTATGCACTATGAACAGGTGTTGCACACGCCTCGTAGTACTTCACCATTGCCAACACCCACTGCAAGAGCCCGTATCCGGCCTGTCACCAAATTGGCTGCCTTCTCAAGTTTTACTGGAGTAGTCTTTCCCAAGTGGCAGCTGTAGAAAGTTTCAAATGGCAAGAATCCGACTGACAAAGAGAAAACAACATACAGCAAACAACACTTGCATGACTCGCATGCGGGACATCAGCCAAAAAGACAGGCTAGCATGCATCATCGCGGTGACGACTTCAAGTATAAGCTAAAGAAGAATGAAGAGAACGACGAGGACGAGGAGGAGGAAGGAGAAGAAGAAGAAGAAGAAAGAAGAAGAACAAGACCAAAGACCAGGTACTGCCGCGGCACCGTGTAACAGAGCACCAAAATAGAGCAGCAGCAGCAGCAGCAGCATTCTAGCAACCAGCCTAAAGCGCACTCTAGAGGACTAGTTGCAAAATTGCCAAAATGTATGTCACAATTTGCGAAGAGCATCCCATCAACCTCGAGAATCACTTGAGCAATCTGAAGCAACTCTGCATATTCACCGAGGCCTTTGATACCGACTTCATCTTCTCTCCCTCAAACCTTTCCGATGCAAACGCCGGACGATACCGTATGATCATGGATGTTTGCGCCCGACAAGACAAACCTATCTACAGCACTGGCCTCCAACCTAATAGCGGTGGCCTCCAACCTAATAGCGGTGGCCTCCAACCTAATAGCGATGGCCTCCACCCTAGTAGCGATGGCCTCCACCCTAGGCATTCTGCTAAAATGGTCACGTCATGTGGTCATGAATAGGACATCAACTTGAAGGTCGAAGGACCTGCCTACTGCTTTCTCTATTTCTGGAGAAGGACCTACTGTGTTTTTTTCTGGCTTTAGCTTTTGCCTTTGCAGTAGTGATTGCTGTTCTTATCTTTCTAGATTTCAGCACCGTTTCTTTTGCAGTGGACCCATGTGTTTGATACTTTCACTGCCAGGCAACGTCCACCTTCTGCTACAGTAATATGTCTTAATATGTCGTCACTTGCTTGGTGGTCGCCCAAAGGTTCTAAATTGCACTTGCTAAGCGCTTCACCCCTTGTCACAGCTTGGATTCCATTGATCAAGTTGGGTCAAGTAGCACTTCCTTCTCCTTGTTCAAAAGCTCTTTGATTCTTTTGATCTGAAGGCAGGGCCGCTAGTAACAGGTGCATCGCTACTAGTAACAAGAAGCTATTAGAAACAAGTGCCTTACTCGTAGTAACAAGGACGCTACTACTAGGAACAAGTGCATCGCTTCTAGTAACAAGTGCCTTACTAGTAGTAACAATAAGAATTTATTTGTAATTACTAGCAAAGGAATCTACAAGAACTGTTTTGATGCAATGTCTTGAAGATTCCTGAAGCACCAGCCTGCGCTCCTTTCATGTCGTCCTCGCACTAAGGCACATTGATGGCAAACAAAGCACAGGGATGAAAGTAGTCTTTTCTGTTCGATTTATTGTTTCTTCAGACTCCAGACCTTTTTTCTCTTGTTTTCGTTTGTCACATACGTTGAAAGGTCAAAACTCCTCTGTCCTTCTTGTACTCCTGCAAGGCCCTCATGAAGCCCACGTCAGACATCATGGCTTTGGCTCCTGTCCAGCCCTGGCTCTCGTCCTCGCAAATATCTTCAAGGCTTTGGTGACTGATAGTGAATAATGCAATCTTTTTGCAAAAACACCAAATGGTCCCTTGGTCCTCTTTCCCCAGAGGTCGCAGGATCACCACACACATGCAAACCTTACAGCATAATTGAATCACACAAAACCAAACTGAGATGCGCTCAAACCTAACACAAAATGCACTTGAAAAAGAGGAATGTGCACAAGTAAATATGGATGATGAGGTACAAGTAGAAGGAGGAGCTTGCAACGGGGTGCGGAAAGGTTCTGAAAGAATGTCCACTCCGGTTATTCTTTGTTTCTGCGTGTTTCCTGAACATGTATCTAGCACTTGTCTGGTCTTCGCGAGTCTTTATATATACTGTATATATATACAATGCTACCCCCCAAAAGATCTACAATGTTTGCCTCTCGCATGCATGTGTAAGTCAATATTATACATAGATCTACAAGCAGCAAAGAACATGCAGAGGGTTGAGGTTATATTTTCAGGTGTTATATATTCTTGTGAAAGCCAGAAGATAGGAGCAAAAGACAAGGTCGTTTGATGCAAAGAAAGAGAAGTAAAAGTAGACCTTTCTTGTTGCTTTTGTCCTTCAAGACTATGCACATCGAGGAGTTTACTGTTTCACTGTCAGCGTTCAAAATATGAATGCGACAGACTTTCCTAAGGATCTTATACGCAAGAGAACGGTCAAAAAGCACAATGCAAAGACACACCAAAGTTTTCTTAAACAAGATCCTCGATATGCTACTATAAAAGATTGCTTAATGATGATAAAGAATGTTTGATTTAGTTGAAGGACTTACAATCGATTATAACAACCTAGGCTGTATCAAAATCCGAGTGAGTAGAGCAAATAAAGAAGAACGGTCAAAGAATGTTTTGAACGAAAATTTGACACATGCAGCTAATTAAACAAATGCTGGCACAAGGCATTGAAAAAGGCCACTACATAGATCATGTATGGATGCTGGGGGAGTGCATTAATGTTCTTTTATGAAACTGCTCTCTTATGAGTAGGACAACTGGACAAATGCCTTTGATAGGAAAGGATTAGTGAGATTATAGCCAGAGATGAGTTGACTGAAAAGGGTATTCTTTAAGGAAATGGAAAAGGAATTTTGAGTTTAAGTTTAACATTCAAGAGAGCAACTTACAAATATGACCCGCCCAAAAGAAACCACCCATATCTATTCCTTAATCCACGACATTGCAACAGAAGCAGGGAGTAAACAAACCGAGAGAAAAGGTTCCCATTGATTATTACATCAACGAACCCCTAGCAACATAATTCATGACATGAATGACATGTTTCAAGTTGAAATACCTAAGGATTGTCAGGTCAGGAAATTTTTTGAGTGGCGAGAGACAATGACCTAACCATTTTGTTCATCTGTCATATAGTGTTTATGAAGTAGGTATTAAGCACCAAGCAGGAATTGTAACTAAACGAAAAAAACTGAGCAAAGTCAAACATAAAATCAAACACATAAGCTAGCTATACATAACTTTAGTTTGAGGGTTGCATTATAGTTGAGGACGAAGACACATATAACAATACGAACCTAGCAATGTATAGCTTCAAGAAGGCGGTATTTAACCCTTTTCAAAAACTCCCCAAACAGGTTTACCTGTGAGGGGTTCTTACTCCTTTTAAAGGGGTGCATGCTCGGGCCGGATGATTTTGAATTTGTCTCCGGGGCTTGTGTTCCTGGCCGCATGATTTCACCCTTGTCTCCCACTTGTCTCCCAGTAAGCTCTGGATGCTCTCAGTGCTCTGGCCGCATGATTTTATACGTCTCCCATTTGTCTCCCACTTGTCCCCCAGTAAGCTCTCGATGCTCTCAGTGCTCTGGCCGCATGATTTCGTAAGCTCTGGATGCTCTGAGTGCTTGGCCGCATGATTTCACACTTGTCTCCCATTTGTCTCCCA